AGAACTCGAGATTCTGACATTAGCTATCGAATGCGACCATCACAAATTGGATCGGACGATCGGTGTAGAAAAAATAGGGGACTCAAAATTTCAATCCGTGATTTGACCTTTAAGGTCAAATATTTTTAATAAGGTATATATTGGGGAACTCAAGATTCTGACCCTAGCTATCGAATGCGACCATCAGAAATCGGATCGGACGATCGGTGTAGAAAAAATAGGGGGACTCAAAATTTCAATCCGTGATTTGACCTTTAAGGTCAAATATTTTTAATAAGGTATATTTAAGGGAACTCGAGATTCTGACCCTAGCTATCGAATGCGACCATCAGAAATTGGATCGGACGATCGGTGTAGAAAAAATAGGGGGACTCAAAATTTCAATCCGTGATTTGACCTTTAAGGTCAAATCTTTTTAATAAGGTATGTATTAGGGAACTCGAGATTCTGACCCTAGCTATCGAATGCGACCATCAGAAATTGGATCGGACGATCGGTGTAGAAAAAATAGGGGGACTCAAAATTTCATTCCGTGATTTGACCTTTAAGGTCAAATATTTTTAATAAGGTATATATTAGGGAATTCGAGATTCTGACCCTAGCTTTCGAATGCGACCTTCAGAAATCGGATCGGACGATCGGTGTAGGAAAAATCAGGGACTCAATTTCATTCCGTGATTTGACCTTGAAGATGACCTTGAAATTTGAAATGAATACGATATTCGGAATCAGCGTCCCAAACTGCATCGGATAGGTTGGGTTTAGTTGAAATTCGGACTCGACGCTGAATCCGTCGCGGAATACGACGCTAACTTCACGGACGTTGACGACAAGTGGGTTCCGGCCACAGCCCATCGATCTTGACACGCTGTGTCTGGTCCTGTGGTCCATGAAGCCGTCTAGAGCAACCGGACTTGACGGGATCAGTGTCGACATGTTCAGGAGATACTTCTGGGGTACTGGACAGATTCTGCTCGACATGATCAACACGAGCCTGGTGACCTGTCAGGTGCCGGCGGCGTGGAAACACGCGCTTGTCACGCCAATCCCGAAGGGGAAAGGACCTTCAGCTCCAGCCAACACCCGCCCAATCTCGATTCTGCCGGGAGTGATGAAGATTACTGAGAGAGTAGTGCAGCTCCAGCTCACTCAGTATCTGGAGACCAACAAGCTGCTCTCCAGCGCCCAGCACGGATACCGGAAGGGTCACAGCACGGAGACCGCTCTCAGCGTCATCACCGAACACGTCCTCTGCGCTATGGACTGTCGCGAGATATCTGTGCTCGTGCTACTTGACCTATCGAAGTGCTTCGATGTGGTACCGCACGCCAGACTACTCGATAAGCTGGCGCTGTATGGCGTAGACAGTAGACACAGAGTGGTTCGGAGACTATTTGCGCGGCCACACTCAGCAAGTGCAAGTGATCGGTGGTGACGGCACTCCCATGTGTTCCGCTGCTAAGCCCAACTCCATCGTGGTCTTCCAGGGCGGCTCGCTCAGCTGTGTCTTGTACACCATCTTCACGAACGAGCTCAGTTTGTTTGTGCCCGACGGGGTCCGAGTGGTACAATACGCGGACGACACACAGTTGCTTGTCAGCGGCAAGAAAAGTGAGCTGCCTGCTTTAATTGTCCGCATGGAGCAGGCCCTTGTCAGTGTGTACGACTGGTTTTGTTCAAACGGGATGAAACTAAACGCGTCCAAAACCCAGGCACTTGTGCTCGGTACACCCGCTATGCTGAGAGGTTTACCGCCAGTGGCACTAGACTTCCTAGGAACCACCATACCCGACTCTAGAGTAGTGAAGAACTTGGGTGTCATCATGGACAATTATCTGAGCTTCCAGTCGCATGTGGACCATGTAACATCAAAGTGCACGGGCATTCTTCTTGGTATGATGCATGCCAAACATGTAGTTCCGAAAAGTGCTGTCGTGACGATCGTGCAGGCTCTTGTGACATCAATCATTAGATACTGCATCTCGGTTTACGGTACATGTAATGCAACGCAGCTACATAGAGTACAGAAGCTCCTAAACTTTGGTGCCAGAGTGGTTAGCGGCCGGCGTAAACACGACCATGTAGCGGACGTTCTCCGTGACCTGAACTGGTTAGACGCGCGTGGCCTTGTCATGTATCACCGACTGTGTCTCACCCATGCTGCCATCACGACCGGTAGTCCCGAATGCATCGCTATGTGCATCGGCCCCAGTAGAGACCACGTGTATCAGACGAGAGGCTCCTCTCAGCGCACGCTACCGAGGATACACTCTGAGTCGGGTCGCAGGCGTCTCAGCTACGGTGCTGTCCAGCAGTACAACCAGCTGCCATTCGACACAAACACTCGCCACTTCAAATCAACCCTGAGACGCTACTTACTCAGAGAACTGTATGGCTGACCTGATCAAGTATCGCGGTGTATTGTATTGGCCTGAATGTATTTTACCTCGTATGTTTTCAACCTTTGACGTGTGACGATGAAAAACCATATTCGATGGATTCGTTATGAAATATATTCTGATTCTGATTCTGATTCTGATTTCTATTTAAACCATTTGAAAATAGCCCGAATGGCATTTTCTTTTAATCAGACTGCAATCAAGAAAGATCTTGAATAATCTCGGAACTGTGTCAACGGTTCCGAAGAACTGAGGATTGAGGAAGGACTATTCTGCCTACTGCAACCAACCGTGTACAAAACCACATTTTGCTTGCAAACGGAGCTCACTCGTAATTGAAAGGTTCATATCTATGAGTGCGTGGGTGATAAAATCTGACCAATGGTCACATTATTGTGAGACATTCGTGCTGTTTTAGTTCTTTCCAGGAACATGGGTATTTAGTATTGGCCCATGTGGGTACAGCCGCCAGTCGGCAACGATAGACAGTGCCACGACCGAGGGGCAAGGCAGTATATACCCCGAGGGGTAGCCCGCGCGACATCACTGCAAGTGCTTGACGGAGACAGGCACAAGGCTACAGCAGATGCCAGATATACAGGGTGGGGCAGAAAGATTTACCTCTTGATTTTTGAAAATATTTCGGTCCAGAACTAAGATATTCAAATGATTTTTGGTACACGTATTCAGTAGCATGTACACATCTTAGCAACGGCACTATGAACCAATATGGCCACCTTTGGTCTTCACCCCTGCCCCGAAACCTCCCCCTGCGGAGAGGCGCGTGCGGTCGCAGCTGAAGTCGTCGGTTGACTCCGGCAGGTGCGCCTCTTGGTGCAAACACCCCCACCACGAGAAGGTGAGGCGCGTGGGCGGGGCTTGCGCCCCCGAGGGAGGCGTTCGGGCGGCAGGCAGGGGCCGAGGCCGCTCCCTTCGCCCCACCTCCGTCGGCCGCGATGCGTCCACCAGCGATGACGTAGCCGGCGCCGCGCACCGCAGCGAAGGCCGGACGGGCGCTGCCTGAAGTATGAGAGTGAATGGGCCAGACGGGACCAGGTTCTGCTCCATCAGCTGCGAGCGAACCGCTGTCCACTGCTCCAAGCCACACTAGCCAGATGGAACAGGCCGGACACCGACGGCCTGTGTCCCGAGTGTGGCGTGCCGGAGGACACGGAACACGTGGTCTGTGAATGCCCGAAATACCAGGCGGCGCGGTCTGCGCTCCTCGGCCACACCCCGACACTGACGGTGCTACAAGAGGACCCGGACGCGGTGCTGAGGTTCTTCAGGAGGACTGGCCTCCTGCCGGAGGCCCGATGATCGGCCCGCCGGAATCGCCGGACAACAGAAGAAGAAGAAGAAGGCGCGTGCGCCGCACGGTGTCCTCGTCGAAATTCGACCATGCCGTCTCGAGGGCCAGCTTCAGAGCGGCGATGCTGCTGTGTGGTGTTGCGCACATCTCGCTCTCCAGGATGGCCCAGGTGGTGAAGTCCATCGGGTTCAGGTCTGGACTTGATGGTGGCCACATGTCCTTGTCCCAGAATCCAGGCATGTGGGTCTTGCACCACTGTTGAGTGAAGTTAGCCGTATGAGACGACGCAACGTCCTGGACGACGACGTATCCGTCTCGGAACGACTAAGCGATCCAAGGCAGAGCATGTTCCTCTAGCAGATGGACATAAACGTGTGAACTGACTTTCACACCCGCCTCGATGAAGATCAAGGGTCCTTTTGAGCCGTCGGATGCGACGGCAGCTCAAATCATGACACCAGCAGGGTTGTGGCGACCAAAACTGGCCTGGATAGCAGGATTAATGCTGCATGTACCATCTGCCAAGATTATGTCGCCTTGAGAGTTCATCTGGGGCTGAACCGTGGAAATCTTTTTTATCAGATCAGAGGAAGACCTTGCTACCGGCGCTTCTGATTTCCTCCAATATCTTTTGGGCCCTGTGAAGCCGCCTCTCCTTGGATGCCGCCGAAATTAGGTGTCGACGTTGCATCGTGTACGACTCAATGCTCAAAACGTCGTTTATGATTCTTCTGATCGTTTTGTGCGAAAAATTGAGGTCCTTTGCCAGTTTGCGCATGTTTCGCCAAGGATTTCGAGACACCATCTTGTGTACGATATCAACCAGCTTTTTGGTGCGGACATGTCTTGTTCTGCCTGGGATGGGCTTCATGGACACTGTACCTGTCCCTTTAAGGCATTTCATTAGATTGTTAACAGTTTTCATGGCAACACCAAGCTGTTTTGGGACGCTTCGGACACTGTGGCCAGCCTGCATCGGCACCGCAATTTGGGCTCTTTTTGTAATCTCCGCCGTAGCTCATAAACAACCACGACGGAATTAAAACCGATCAGAACAATTATACACGAGTCAGTTGGGAAGCCGCATGCAAAATCTTACTAAAATCCGTCCAAAACTTTTTGAGTTATGGGCTTAAAACAAACAGGTAAATCTTTCTGCCCCACCCTGTAGAAAGTATAATGGTAAACGGCAAACGTAAGACAATCGTGACATTTTGAGCAGAAGGAAGTACCTGATTCGTGAACGGAGATGAGAAGAGGCCTTATAATACAAAGGGAAAAGCACTTAAGAGCAGATGGATGAATAATATATTTTCCAAATAACCAAATCAACAACTCAAAACGACTAATGAGTATTTGGTAAAGCATTAACAGAAAAACGTAACAGTATCAACGCACGATAACCTATCTGAGTATTTTCTTGCAACAAAACAGACAACGTGCTGATATGGCATATGGCAAAATACATAGATCTCACGTCGGCAGGCTCCCAACAAGGAACAAAAACAAGTTGCTAAAAACTTGCGAGCCTTGAGCTTCCATACCTTTGGCAAATACGATTGAATTCCTGATATGCACGCTGACGTGCCTGTCATGATCGAGCTATACTGGCAGCAAAGAACACGTTCTAAGGGGCAAAACGTCAACGATAAAAGCCCTCACCCGTTCACTCAGAAAGCTTCGACCGTCACCAAAAAACCGTCACCAAAAGAACAACGATGTTTTAGCACATCGGACAGCCCAACGTCCAAAACAATACAGCTACAGAGCGCAGCCGCGAGGGGAAGACAACTCTTCACTGGCCCGCCAAGTGTAAAACGCTCGGTACAAAATGTTTGATCGGAAACGCCCACTGGCACGCACATTATACATGTGGGCAAGAAAGGCACGAGTATACGAGTATAGTGAAATATCATTTTGGTACAGCCCCCTAACGGGGTTCGACTGGCCTCATCTCCCGCTACTGCAGCAGTGGCGGGTGGCGACCCTCCCTCTGCGGCGGCGCGTTTCCGTTGGAAGCGACCCGGTGACGACGTCACATGAGCTCGACACACATGGCGATGCCCATGCCGCCGCCGATACAGAGCGCAGCCACGCCCTTCTTCAGCTGGCGCTCCCTCAGCGCGTACAGCAGCGTGACGAGCACCCGCGCGCCTGGGGAGGGAGAGCAGCGGTCACGAGGGTTCGTGGGAAGAGTGACACTGTAGGGACGGCCGCGTGGAGGACCAGAACCCCGCACGAGTTTTCAACTTCCCAAGATAAACACCGTCCGTGCTCAGAAGCTAGTCACCCCACCCATAAAGTAAACATGTCTGAATGATGAAAAACGGTAAGACGAGACATCCGACCCTATCCTGTCTGTCTAAGTGTTGTGTGATGAAGATAAAGGTCTGGCAGCGCTGCTGACGGCAGTGTTCACACCGACTGACCTGAGGCCCCGAGCGGGTGTCCCAGCGCGATGCTGCCGCCGTTGACGTTGACCTTGTCGATGGGCGCGCCGAGCGTGCGCTGCACGGCCAGCGCCTGCGCCGCAAACGCCTCGTTGATCTCAAACAGGTCCACGTCGTCCATACTCCAGCCGGCCCGCTCCAGCTGAAACGGAACGCCGAAATGCAGCTCAACTCTGCGGAGGGTATATACTTCGAGAGTGGTGCAACCGGAATATGACTACCGTCATTAATTAACATATCGTGACTCGTTAGTAACACGTGACGAACAATTAGCCATATAGCCTCGTTGGTGGTGTGCCCTAAAACACCAAATCAGCATCATCATCGACGAACAATTATAAACGATGGCCTGAGCATTTGGTTGAGATTGCGTGACATTTACTTCATGATTTCAAATGCCTTTACGTCCAGACGCCAATGTCCTTTACAGGATCAGATTGCTCAGCTTTGGAAGCTTGGCAGCTATTTGACGTGTTGCTTCTCTCGAATTACGAGTTTTGTACATGGCTATTACCAGAGCTGGGCAAGTGCGTTCCTTTAGTGCGTTCCTGCGTTCTTCCGTACGTACGCACCGCCCTTTTTAGGAACGCAAGAACGCAGGAACGCAAAGTTTTTCAAAGGAACGCAAGTAAGAGGAACGCACCACCCGAAATTTTGAAGCGTTCCTGCGTTCTTGCGGAACCACCCGAAAAATTATATTGCTGCCAATGACCTCTGTGTCAAATGTTTGAATCTCGAGTACGTGTGTTTGCCGGTAGAGGCGCCACTTGTCGGTCGAATCGAGGAAGGCTTGCTTAGATTTAGTGCTGATGTTTACTATTCGATTCGGTTTCAGGCATTAGATGTGTAAAGATTTTTAGAGGTGATGTTTACTATTCGATTCAGTTTCAGGCATTAAATGTGTAAAGTAAATATGATAACTTTTACTGAGATACATCTTTTAACTTAACTATTGTTTTTAAGCAGGTCGTATTTTTGTTGAAAACCCTACGGATGATATTGGTAAAACGTATTTCAGATATTCGATTCGGAAAAGAGATGTCGAGCTGCTTTTCGGCCCCACGTCGCCATTCTGGGTATTCTGTGATCGATTCGCCCCGTGTTTGGTTGGGCCCGCGCCGCGTGGTTCGGTGGTATTTTTGAGGGAGGAACGCAGGAACGCAGGAACGCTAACGCACCGAGCGAAAAAAAATTGAGGAACGCTATTCCAGGAACGCACTAACCGCGGCCGGAGGAACGCAGGAACGCTAACGCACTACCAAAAATCGAGGAACGCGCCCAGCTCTGGCTATTACCCTCTCCCTAATCTATTCCCGAAAGCCGGCTTATCTCTCCGTATTCCAAACACCCCGTTTGTGACTAACACGCCTGCCGTGCGCCGCTCACCGCCAGTCGGGTGGCCGGGATCGGGCCCGTGCCCATGATGCTGGGCTCCACGCCGTAGGAGGCGCTGGAGACGACACGTGCCAGCGGGGTGAGCCGGCGGGTGGCCGCCTCCTCTGCGCTCATCAGCAGGACGGCCGCCGCGCCGTCGTTCAGCCCCGAGGCGTTACCGGCCGTCACAGTGCCACTGCCGTCCTGCGGACATAGGTAATGAATACACATATTAATTGATAAGCAGAAAGCAAACACAATTCATTCAAACAGAAAATACAGAAGCAAAATGCAGGAAAACAGTGAATTGTGATTATTCTTATCAAGAAAAGAAACAAAAAGGGAAAAAAGTAGTGGAAGTCCACGTTGTCCAGCTGATCTTCCAATAAAAATTAAAAGCGAGACCCAGTGAGTCAAATAAGACCCGAGATCGGAAAGCGATGACGCAAAGTGCACGGCTACTTTCAACATTTCTAGCGACTGACCGTGATGAAGGCCGGTTTCAGCTTGGCCAGCGTTTCGGTGGTGGTCTCCGGGCGCGGGAACTCGTCTGCCGTCACCTCTGTGACACCCTTGCGCGACTGGACGGGAACAGGTACGATCTGGGCGGCGAATCGGCCGGCCTCCACCGCCGCCCTGGTCAGCGACTGAGACCGGCACGCGTACTCGTCCTGCTCCGACCGAGAGATGGAGAACTGCTTGGCAATGTTCTCCGCTGAGGACAACCGACACCAGGGGGAATCAGTGAGAGAATGTGGTGAACGCATAGTCCGTTCTGAATAGCTCGAAAAGTGATACTCGATAGAGCGAATCCCCAAACCAACATTTTCGGAAGTAGAGTAAAAATCATAAAACGCAGAAAAAACATAAACGAAGTCGAGCAAAAACAGTAAATAAAACATCATTATATTCATCACAGCAAGGGCGAAAAGGTGGCACTTCAGCGTGAAGCTTGTATTAATATTTAATATCGGCGTTCGCAAGCGCTCGTGAAATTTCTTGTGTTGAGAATTAGATTTAGCAAATTAGAAAGGCGTCATTAGCAGGGTAAACAGCAGTCGCTGCCGAGAGTAGCGTAAAACGGTCCATCGATTCAGCCCAGGTGTTGAGTATCGCACTCTCTCCAAATATGAAGACCTCGGGGAGGGGGCGGGGCGTTAGACGGTCGCCCATTAAATCCCGGCTGACGGCGCCTAATGACCTAATTGTCCAGCTGACTGTACACCTGCGGAGATTCGCTCTGACGTCGCCTAGGGTGAGCAGCGCCGGTGGCAGCGTTAACACTGATCATAGGGCAAACAGTCGTCATGGACTATGCAATATCGACGCGGTAGCTATGTCGTATTATAGGAGTGATAATTCGTCGACTAATATATCAAACTCTCTCAGACAGCACGGCGCCCTGCTTACGGGGCCCTCACGGGGGAGGAGAGGGGACTATCTGGGCACTCACTCCCAGGACACTCGGCACCCACCGGTCACTCCCATGACCAAGCACCCACCGGTGACCCCCATGTGTATCCCGGAGAAGGCGTCCTGCAGGCCGTCGGCCAGCAGGCTGTCCCTTAGCTGGGCGTCTCCCAGCTTCTGTCCGGTGCGCAGACCCATTAGGTGCGGCGCCTGCGACATGGACTCCTGGCCGCCGGCCACTACGAGCCGCGCCTCGCCGCAGCGGATCGCCTGCGCCGCGTTACACACCGCCCTGCGCGCGGAAACACGGTGAGCACAATCTGACGGTTCAGTCGTCGGAGCAGGTGGATGGACAGTTAATCTCCGCATGTCACCACACGACGTTACTATCTTCAAAAACAACTATTAGGCATAACTACTTCCATAATGTGGTCGCCCATGTAAAAAAAAGACTTAATTAGACACACCAAACGAGTCTTACGATGAGCGAGTCTTTGGTAAGGTTGTGTCCAGCCTTGGCTGAGTTCACGGCCCACTCAGTACGTGATACCGCCTGGACCTGAGGCACTGTCCTGACCTCCACTCACTTCAGCCCGGAGCCGCACACAATGTTGACACCACTGGCGGGCACGTGGACGGGCACACCGGCGCTGACGGCGGCCTGCCGGGCCGGGTTCTGTCCCTGGCCGGCCGGCAGCACCTGACAAAAAAAAAAAAAAACACACCCGAGTCAGACCAGCCGCGGGCGTCACTGCCGCCAGGCGAACTGAGCATACCGGCAGGCACGCCAGAACCACATGTCAGCAACAGAGCGGGCGGATCGCCACAGTTTGCGTCTATGGCCGGTGGTTATACGTAGAATATCTGTAATGCATACTTGCAAGGTCTGTTTGCAATGTGCATGCTACATCTTGTGCTCTATTCCTAGCTCGCAGTCCCTGACCTTTAACCAAAAGTAGATATGTCCCCAGTCAGTGTATGGCCCACCGTCGCGTTCACTATTGTCTGCCACCGGCGCCATCGCTCTCACCTGACCCATGATGACCTCGCTGACCTCAGACGGGTCGACCCCGGCCCGTGCCAGCACTTCTTTGATGACCAGGCTGCCCAGCTGGTGACTCTTAACCGTAGAAAGCGAGCCCAGAAACGAGCCTGAATCACATAACGGCAACACAAAGTGACAATGGGATCGTGATCAAGTGCAAGAATGCACACAGACTGAACAACCGGCCGGTGTTCCGACTGGACGGCCGCCTGGTTGGCCACACCGAACGTTACGGCTTACGGCTTACGATGCGCAGTCCCGTACAGTGGGTACGCACGGGGGGGGGGGGCTCCCTCGCCGTTCCACCCCTGAGATTATGAGCTTCACAAAATAACGAGCGTATACGCTTTTAAAGGGACCCTCCCACCTTAACATTAGTTTTGAGTTGAGATAGCCAAGTTTGCGGCCAGGCTCAGAAACCACCATTTATCCTGGTCTCAACCCCCGCAGCTTTATGGTGTTCAAGAAATTTCTTCCTTTTACTTGCAGGGTGGGACCAGCTTGGTCCCTATCTCTTAACCATTACGGGAATCTGATGACGTCATCAGGCTTTCGAACGTCCGTTAAATGTTTGACTAAAACGTTTTGTAGCACGCGGTGGTATATGCTGCTTTGCGCGCAACAAATGCCGCACTTTCAAATAAAGTCGCTAGGAACAGCGGAGATCCCAAAAAGTAAACAAAAGTAAAAGTCTAATATCTTGAAAACCGGTGAATATTTTTTGATGAAATTTGGTAGATATTCGTTTTTGCTCTTTCTGAACCGAGCGACATCACTTTCATGCCAATTCATTAACTTTTTTGAAGGTGGGAGGGTCCCTTTAAAGGAAATATACCACTTTCAAAATAGAGTTTTGAACAGAGGGCTGTTCACGGGCCCTGTGTGCGGTCGGACCGCACACAGCCTCCAAGCTCCGCCCACTGCGTCCCTACGTCAGCCTTCCGTCACCGCACACAACGACCGCTGTGGCCGGTCGGGACTGGCCACAGCGGACCGTCCACCGCACGCAGCCGTGACGTCAGAGCCGCCTAGGTACCCATCCCCTACCCCCACGCCTGCTGGACGCTCCGCACACACCGCACGCGGCAGTGTGCGGTGCCCGTGAACACCCCTCAGGAATATCAGTTTTGTGGCTTGAGCTGAGACTGGCACAAATCGGGAGCTTTAAGCCCCGAAAATCACCCTAGGCAATGATATTTCATTTCTCGTTTCGAAAAGAGCACCTTGTCTCTTGAATGACACAAAAGAATGCGTCACTTGTAGAAGAATGCCAAGAAAGCAGCAGCCAGCCGCAGAGGCTAAGCTCAGGGAATCAGCATGCAGTTGCTTTTGAACTATACAATATGATTAATCCATGAGTAATACACTTCAGCACCACCGCTATTTAGCCTCTACCAAAGATGGAATATAATTCTTCCAATATGAAAATAGTGAAGAATTACTTTGGAAAATTTGTACAATTTTTTCAGATCTTTTTACACAGAAAAAATAATAATACTGTCACAAAATAGTTATTTGAGGAAAGTGGTATATTTCCTTAAACACTGCAACTGGTACCCAATTTTAAGGTCACAGGTCAACTGGTGATCTCTGAGGTGAAATCTAAGGCTCCACAGTAGCTGGTCTGCTTTTGCAAAACAACATAGCCAAAATTGGTCAGAGAAGCAATTTTGACACATTCACACTGTTCATGCTCAGGAGTCAGGACTGTCAAATGATATACTCTTAGCTATGGAAAAATCAGCTCAGAATGTTGGTCTTGGGTCAGGGTCATGTCAAAGCCAAAGGTTATGAAGTTCCTTTGTCAAAGGATGTCACATAACATATCATTTGATATGGTGGGTCTACAGAGTCTATTCAGAGTTTATCAGTGGCTTCAATTTTATTAGGCTGGCTGATGTCTTTACTTCAGGGGATATGTTTCTGAATCTTTATAGGGTGAAAATTCCATAACTGATAGTCACCTTTTCTAAGATAAGAAGGGATGGAGTGGGTCACTTCACCTTTTCATCTTTTGGACCATTCAGCTTTTCACTTACCAATTGGTGTCCTTGCAGCTGACACAATCACAACTTCAGTTTTGTTTGAATCCATTTTTTCCTGAAACAACTAAACAAGTGATGAATGTCGACAAATTACCCAATGTTACTACATAGCAGTAGGATCTGTATGATTAGGCTGAGGTCTGAAATCAGGCAAGTAAAGGCCGAGCTACACTATGCGTGACCATCCAGGAAATTAAGCACGTGATCTGGGGATCCGTGATTGCAAGACTCTCTAGTCTCTTAACATTGGTTTCTGCTATTTTCCAGAATTTCCATGAATTATTGTATGCTGACACAATACCTAATGACAACTAATAAATGGTTTCGCAACAAATGCTCAAGTTTGCTATCTTCTATACTATTCTATTGATAAATAGTTTATTTAGTTAATAAGACATCAATAACACATGAAAATTAAAGAAACAATGATTAATTACATCACTTGGATTCATACAGTGCACCACCAAGTGTGCCAATAACTCTCATATCACACAATCTCACAGATTCTGCAAAATAGTTAGCTCTGAACTTTATATCAGTACGGAATATCCTGACCGTCCTATCTGGCAATTCCTGCACTGAGCGTCCGGCATTTCCTTGACAATCTGCGTCAGCGTGACCCCAGTGTAGCCGACCCTGTATATTTCCTATCAGCTGAACCTCATCTGCGTACTGATTTTCTGCAAAACAAGCAAACTCGCAGATCACGCACGTAATTTCCTGGACAATCACGCATAGTGTTAAGTTGAAGTGAAGGTCTGCCCTAAGACCATTTATCATTGTCATGTGGTGGTCAATTAAAAATAAAATGTGAAAAAATAAAGTAATCAGTAATGAGAAAAAATCCTCACCAGTTTTTTAGACGAACCAAGGGACTTCTAGGTTGAGGTTCTTGAGGCAAACCAACATTCGCTGGGGGGACGGGCGGTTGTTGCCTTGGGTTGTTGCAAGACTCACGGTATATAGGTTGTTGTTGTTGGAAATGTTGTGTTGCGTTGCGCTCGCGTTCTGTGATCTTGGTGTGATACCGTGTGATTCGCAGAGGTGATACGTGTGTGATTGCGTGTGATGTGTTCTATAGGGCCTTGATGTGTTCAGGGTTGGATGCAAGTATGATGAGGCCCGATGATATGGTAGCAATCGCTCTGTTCCAAATCTGACGCATTTGAAACGAATCTGGAGCACGAAACAACAAAAAGGTGATGTAACGGAAGTTAGCAGGGATTCAGCAGGGGTTTATTTTGCCCTCATAAATAAATGATGGGCTTTCGAAAAATGTTCCAAGCGATAAATTGATTTTTCACATTTGCAGGGCTATCGCATGGCCATATGGCATTTGGCATCGGCGATTGCCTCGGGTGGCGTTGTATTGTAATCCTTGAAAAGATCATGGTTCAGTTAACTAACCCTCGCCCGCACGGCGCACATGCCATTTTCCCATCCTAGAACGCACATGGGGGGGGGGGGTGGTTGCCACCCCCCCCCGCGCCATTTCGTTCCTGTTGGAGATAGAGCTTAGCGGTAAAGACCAAAAAGATTCTTTGGGAAGAGACGAATCCAATGATACCCAGTTTTACCTTCTCAGGTCAGTCATTGACCTTCCAGGTCAGGTCAAACAAAAAAATGTTGCTGTTTTGGGTCACCGTTGGATATCAAGTGTGCTGCTTATCAAATACCGATGACGATGCTGTTTTCTGGTGCCAAGCCAGCTAGAACCTCTTTGTCACACTACCCGACCAGAATTTTGCTGCTGAGGTCATTTCAGGTCAAGTTAGGTCAAGGTCAATTATATGTGTTTGTATGTCTGTGTGTGTCTGTGTGTATACTGATGTGTGCACCGATTGTTTTTGGGTCCATATTACATGAAATCATGATCTGAGAAGCTTTTACCAAAAATGCAGTCAAAAAAACTTCAAAAAAGTAAATTCAGCTTGCCTAAAACGCAATTATCTTAGATGACCTAGGTTGACCTTGACCCTGACCTTGACCCCTGTACATCGTCGAACAACATGTTCCATGATAGGTGGGAGGTAAGACTGGCAAAAAAGGCCGAAATCAGGGTGTCAAAAGCTCATAAGGCCCATGGCAAACGCAATATGTTGAGAATTGGCCATTTGGGTCATGACATGACCTGACAAACAAGGTCATATCTCCGAAACCAAAAATCACAGAAACTTGAAATTTTCAGTGGACATCAAGAAAGGATAGAGGAGCAGCTATACGAAAAATCAGCCTTCTAGCTCTAAAAATGTTGAGTGCAGAGCAGAAAGACTACCTGGGGGGGGGGGGTGGCAACCACCCCCCCCCCCATGTGCGGGCGAGGGTTAAAAGATCCAAATGGTCATTTCAGATAACAGCGCAAGGCACCTCGCAGTTGCGATCAAACGTAAGTTGAATCGGAACAGATATTGGAGGGATCCATCACATCGTAGGCTAAGTAGATACGCAAGTTGTATCGCAAATGGTGAAGATACGAACTAACTTTACGAATCTTCTCGGTCGATCGGAAGGCCGATCGTAGCGAAGCTTTACCTCTTTCTCAAGAGAAAAATATAAGAAATTTTCAAAATTTTCACAAAACCGAAATATATGTTAAACAAATATGGTTGATGAACACGTGTGCAAAATTTGAAGTCGATTTCTTCAAAAACGGCTGCGCTAGAGCGTTTTAAATTTACACGTTGAAAACGGTCACTTTCACGTCATTTTTGTAATATTTTTTTTCAATTTTGAAATTTAAAAAGTCTTTTGGGCAATTTTTCGCGTTAATTGCGAAAATCTGACCAAAACATGTATCGCACCATCAATGATCCGATACGCCATTAGAGGCCGCGCCGCGGACAGGTGGGCGCGGCGATACCTAGGCCGCGTGGGGGTTACACTGGTGTTCGGAAAGGGCTATGTCAACGCGAGGCAGGCCGCGGGGGAGGCGGTTGCGGCGCCGGTCCGTATTTGTCGGCGCCTAACAGTGCAGCGGTGCGTTTATGGCGGAGGGAGGGGAAGCGGTGTAGTGTCGGCAAGGCCACACACAGGAGAGGGCACACGGCCCCCCCCCCATTCGAGTTGGGGCCCCTAATCTTTAGACCGCCGAAGACCATGTAAAATGAACTGAAATAATGATTGAGAAGACCGGCAGGGCCCATCTCGTTCCCCAGCAGGCCCATACGAGTCCATAAATGCCCAGTAGCGCAGCCAGGGGTATTGTGAAATTTCAATGGCCCTCAAAAGACCTCAAAGGGCCCACAGATGGGGTCACCGGGTCCTCAGATGGTCTCGAAGGGCCCTCGGTTAGCGTCAAATGGCCCTCATCTGGTGTCAAAGGGCCCTCAGATGGCCAAATGAAGGGCCACAAGATGGCCTCAAAGGGCCCTCAAATGGGTTCAAATGGCTCTCAGCCAACGTTAAACCTACCTCAGAAGACCTTAAAGGGCGTCAAAAGGCCCTAAACCTGCGTCAGAGGGCCCTGAGCTCGCGTCAAACGACCCTCCGAAGGCCTTAAAGAGTCCTTAGCTTGTGTCAGAGGGCCCCCAGCTGGTGTCAGTGAGCCCTCCTCAGCTGGCGCCAAAAGTCCATCTGAAGGCCTCAAACGGTCGTCAGCTGGAGTACAACGGTCCTCAGATGCCGTCACGCGGCCCTCAAAAGCCTCAAGGAGCCCTTATAAGGTCTCAAAGGGCCCTCATTTGGCCTCAAAAGGCCCTCCGCTAGCGTTAACCGGACTTCAGAAGGCCTTAAAGGTCCCTTATCTGGTGTCAGAGGGCCCCCAGCTAGTATCAGAGGGCCCCCCGGCCCTCAGTTGGCGCAAAATGGCCATCAGAAGGCCTCAAACGGTCCGTAACTGGAGTCCAACCGCAACGGTCCTCAGGTGGCGTCAAGCGGCCCTCAAAAAGCCTCAAAGGCCGCTTAAAAGGCAGCAAAGGGCCCTCATATGCCCCCAAAGGGTCCTCTGCTGGCGTCAAACGGACCTCAGAAGGTCTCAAAGGGCGTCAAAGGGCCCTGAGCTCGTGTCAAATATAAAAGCGCCCTTAGTTGGTGTCAGGAGGCCCCCAGTTGGTGTCAGCGTGCCCTCAGCTGGTGTCAGAGAGCCCTCAGTTGGCATCTACTGGCCATCAGAAGGCCCCAACAGATGGCGTCCAACGGTCCTCAGCTGACGTTAAGAGGCTCTCAAAAGGCCTCAAAGACCCCTCGGCTGCTGAAGAGGCCCTTAGCCTCAAAGGAAACTCAAGAGACGTTAAACGGCCCTAAAAAGGCTTGAAAGGGCCCTCTGCTGCTGGCAAATTGCTCGCATATGACATCAATAACAGCTTTGTCAAAAACGGACCTGAAAGACCTTGCCGGTCCCTGGTTATAAGGGACTCCTGTCTCTTGCAGTAACCTGAGTGGCCCACGTTTACTGAGGGGCCCCTGGTTATTGAAGGAGTCCCTGGTTATTGGAAGGACCCCTAGTTATCAGAGGGTTCCCTGGTCACCTGGTGGGTCCCTGATCAATCGAAACCTCCCGATCATCTGAGCGCCCCCTGATTGCCTTGGTCTTGGCGTTGGCGTACAGTTTAAAGTCGTCGGCACACTGCGGCCTCCTCTTTCTCAACAAGTCCCTCTATTTATTCTGCAGCGAGGGCGATTTCGTCAAAATACTCCTCCATCGCGAAGCCTCGTGCGCAGACGCAGTCTTCGGGGCGCTCGCTGCGCCAACTCTTGACGACAACTGACGGGCTCCAAATGGAACAGATGGACTCCGAAACGAACGTGGGAATGCCGACACATGATCCCTCCAAATTTACAGAGGAGGAGATGTCCCTGACAGCCCCTTTGCAATAGGGGTCACTTTTACACTATAGACGTATGGGGAATTCGACCTTATCGACATGGTACTACGAGGTCAGCTGATCTGCTTGGCATTTAAATCGTAGTAAAACTGGCATTTAAACGCTGCGAAACAACTTACGTACAACGTAGCTCCGATTTGCCCCTCTTTCTTTTTCATCCCTCCGATTTTCTTCCGATCAAGAGAAGTTTCGTACCGAGAGAAGTTTCGCAGCCACGTCCGATATAACTTACGATAGCACGGATCCCCCCAGCCTAAGTTATGTTATAACTTATGAAATATGATAGAAAACGTAAGGTCCGGTAAGTAAGGTCGTGCTCATAGTGCTCACTGCTCAGTGCTGTGATCTCGTGGATCTCGTGATCTTTTACTGTGAAGGAAAAACTTCCCGACTGACTGACGTCATCACTAAGGAATACCAGATTCTGCAAATATTTGAACTAGAATCTTTATGTAACAATTGCGCCATGAACGGCTATTTCGATAACTACCACATTGCTACCAAATCCTTGACGTCACAGGGGAACAATATTTTCCCCCTAGTAAACCAAGCCCACCAAGCCGGCCTTAGTAATAACTAATAGCACGGAATATATAGTCTACGACTCTGTCGTAGACTATATATTCCGTGGTAATAGAGTTCTACCAGCCTCTAAACCAGGGCTGCGGAGTAGGGTGGGTCGATAATCTAGAATCGATGGGAGACAGCAATATTTTATGGCGCTGATTCATTATATGATGAGCGATAACAAAATATTTGCCCTAAACCCAATAATTGGTACGCTAGATAAGATTTTCTGTAATCATGAATGCCACCCAAGGCGATAGTGGCGCCACCTATCCAGACAGGCCAGATCAGGGTTAGATTTTAAAAACCAATACAGGAGGGAAGTCAAATCACGTAACAAATGCAGACATCAAACGTGCAAGCATTTCAGCTTGCCCATCGAGCGGCGGCGCTATTGCAGCCGCCCCCTCCGTCTCGCTCTTCCCAGCCGTCGAACCAGATATTCGACACCGCGCCTGGGTTCGACCAGCCAGCGCCCGATGGACGGGCCCCGCCACTGGTGCTCCCCCCGCCTATGTTTAACCAACAGTGGCGGGACTTTCTGGTAGCCCAACAACTCATCAACGACAACTACCAGACCAGGAACCGGCAGGAGAGTCGGGTACTTCTGCCAGCTACAGTTCAGGTTCCCGCCGACATCCAAGACTTTCAGTTTCTCCCAGACAGGCTGAAGATATTTGTCACCGTCGGCCGCGGCGGCTGGGCGGCCGCCCTTACGGCTCTCCCGGATCTAGAGCTGCAGCAGCTGGGAGTCCAGCTGCTGCCGCCCGCCCCTGTGCTGCACCTGCCGCCTGCTCCGGCCCCTTCGGTACAGTATGCGGGGAGTGTGGTCCCCGGCCCTCCTGTCAGTCGCTGCCGCCGTCGTACGAGGCAGGCAGCGGCCGCCGCGGGCGGTACGCATTAACAGCATCATGGCGGCCTGGCACGCGACGGTGCGGGGTGTAGCTACGGTCCCTCTGATCCTCCCCCGCCCCGACGGAGCTCGCGTGCCGGGCCCCGCAGGGGCCCTTCCGGCTTGGCAGCCGGAAGCAGGGCCCCTCCTCCAGAGGCTCGTCCCTCGTCA